TTGGACTGGATGGGCCTTTGGCCTGATCCAACATTGGCGTCTCTTATGATCTTATTTATGTTAAAATACATAAAATGTTTATGGAAATACTAAATGTAGATCTACCCTTTGCACCAGAAATGTTTCTGCTAAATATTATTCCTGACAGTTGTAAGAAAGAAGACTGGTATTTAATAACCTATATCCTAACGATTGCTAGAATATTATTTGCAAAAAATTGGAAATCAGATAGGCTTCCCTCAAGAGAAGAATTAGTATTGAAATTGTTGGAAATGGCTGAAATGGATAGATTATCTGTAATAACACAAGGAAAAGATGAAGAGTTGTACATTAAAAGGTGGATGAGAGTGTGTACATGGATAAATAATAAGTTGTGTTAATAGACTCACAACATACTGTAAACAACATTGCTTTGGTTCATACCATTGTATGTAACAATGTGAAAACCCAATAAATAAATAAAGTTTAAAAAAAAGGTATGCAGAGCTTAGGGTTTTGGTGTCCTCTCTAATACACTCTGAGGTGGAGGGGGAGCAAAATGCAGAACAAAGTGGCCCTAGAACCTTTTCCTCTTAGGACATTGACACCTGTACTGTAGTAAGCTACTTTGGCCACTTACTACTTGGGAGTGTACTTTCTGGGGGACAAAGCAGCTGAGTAGAAAATAAACCTCATATAATCTACACATTTTTTGCCACTGGGGTATTTCAGTACCCCTTTGGGGCATGTTTCCGCTCCATGAAATTATGGTAACAGGGATCCGGAGAACTGCTTTAAGTGATGTGGATAGAACTAGCCCTTCATGACAACCAAAATCAAAATAAAACTTTGTGGGACTTTTCTAACCTCTAGATATATGGGGAATTTGGTTTGGGGTGGAAATATGCCCCAAATGCAATATATCTAAATAATTTTTTCCAGAGGATGGTTTAAAGCAGGGGTGTTGAAATCATTTGTTATGGGAGCTGGATTTGACATAAATTGGACTTTGTCAGGCTGGGCCATGTGTGTCATGAAATGTAATGCCAGGTAGCAGAGATATAAAAAGGACACAGACAAACACAATTAGTGATATTATAGCAGCTATTCCATTGCTGGATTTGACATAAATTGGACTTTGTCAGGCTGGGCCATGTGTGTCATGAAATGTAATGCCAGGTAGCAGAGATATAAAAAGGACACAGACAAACACAATTAGTGATATTATAGCAGCTATTCCATTGGAGCCCCAAATTAGGAGCTCATTAGCATATCATATGCTAATGAGCTACTAGGCTATTAGCATATGCCACGCCCCCTTACATCACCGGACGTGATGTCAGAAGGGGAAGCAAAAGGGGGGAGGCATCTT